TGGGTGTGGGGGTGGGTGTGGGGGTGTGGGTGGGTGTGGGTGTGGGGTGTGGGGTGTGGGGTGTGGGGTGTGGAGTGTGGGTGTGGGTGTGGGTGTGGGGTGTGGGTGTGGGTGTGGGTGTGGGTGTGGGTGGGTGTGGGTGTAGGTGCGAGTGTGGGTATTCATCTCCACTACATCACCACCGAAACCCGCACCCATACCCAAACTCACACCCACACCCACACAATCTGTAACCGCTAGAACCTTACAGTTTCACATGTTTACGCACACTCAAAGGATTAGAATATATCAGGATTCGTAATTTGATAGTCCATTGGTTTTAAGATTGTCAAGATAAGCGTTACATAAATACGAATTTGTTATGTGATACTATTGGGAAGTAATCTGATCTGAATAAATAGTTGAAATTCTGATTTTGAAATAGATGCTATGCCCGTATTTTCGGGTATATATAGGTTGTTATCTGCAGATGCGAACAACTGTTTACGGCAAATAGTTTTGACACAATGCAACGCTCAATTCATCTCATTGTTTTTCTTCTATGGTTTGGCGTCGCGAATGCTAAGAGCATAAACGATGAAACTCATAATATTACTATCGTGGAAGACTCCAATCAACAAGGGCTTCGTATTGCTGCTAGTTCCTCTTCTCAAAGTTTGGCAGAAAATAACACTGGTACAAGTTCCACAAATGCCGTTGTTAACACTTATGTATTAACTCTATTTAATTATCAAAATAACCAAGTTTACGTTTACAGTCCAAAATCAAATACTGATGAAAATAAGAGTGATTACAGAAAATGGATTTTTTATTATGTTCCAGTCATGTTACCACTAAAACAAGATGAAAATGATACAAAGTGGATATGGGCCGTTAGAAATGAAGTTCGATTGAAGTTAATAGTAAGTAATAAAGAAGTTGAAGAATTGGCAAGAGAAGCTATTTCAAATAAGTTCGATAGTGATATTGTAAAAAACTATTCGAAATATTGGGATGTAGCACCATTGATGATTGATTCGTTAATGGCTTATATTTTACGTGCCGACTCATCTCCAGTTGTCGGCGTTCAGCAATATCATGCCATTCATCCAACAACACTAATTATGACATTGCGTTTTCAATGTACCACGGAGATAATAGCCCAAGAAACTGTAGAAAAGATCATTGATGGTGATTATGAAATTGAAGTTGCTTTATATTTTGCTGAATTCAAACAAGTAAAAATGAATCTTGCTTCAATTACAGGTGATCAAGTGAGAAGTGTCTTAAGTAAAACAATTGCAGACGGTGGTGATACAAATTCACAATACATCCATCGAAATCAAGCAGCACACTTTGTCGGTAAATATGTTACAAATGTTAAAAAAATGATTTATATTGAAGATGCAAGCTTGAATACGTCTGCATTGACAGCTGGCTTAGAGGATCAATTCTTTTCTCTTTTTCAACAAGGTAAGTAAGATAGTTCTTTCATGAGATAGTCTCTGAATTCGGCACTTGTTTTAGGTATGGAGAATTCAGAGACAACAGAGATTGATGCCGGTTTATATGGTCAAATATGGTCATCGTCTGATTTAAATCCTGACCGCTTGACAACAGAAATAGAGAATCTCTTTACAAAAAATGACTCAGAAACACAAAGACGAAATGATTCTAATACATATTACAATTTGAATACCCAGTATCTGAAAGAATCAACAACCAGCAATGAGGCCAGTGCAAGTGTTAGTGGTAGCGGGTGGGGTTTTAGTGCAGCTATATCAGGTTCAACTTCATCATCTTCATCTAATTCATTACAGAATCAACTTGCTCATACTACTCACGATATTTTTTCAAAAGATGATATAGACAAACTGTTTGCGGAACAGCAGGTTCAGTTGGAATGGAAAGGTGAAAAATTTATACCTAAAAATTTCACAGTTTATAAATTAATTGATCTAACTAGTCAACTACAGGTAGCTATTATAGCGAAACAATTCAGTGTGGATAAAACTCGTGGGGCTATTATTCGAACCATAAATACACTGAATACCTTGAGCGCACCTGTTCTAAAAAATTCAACAAAAGAACCAAAGCCAACAAAGATCTCCGCTGTATTTCTGACGGGTACAATCCAATTGTATGCTGGTAATTTAACACCACCTAAACCATGGCTGCTCTGTAACGGTTCAACTGTTTTGCGTACAGAATATAAAAGCTTGTTTAGCGTTATTGGGGAAACCTATGGGGCTGGAGATGGACAATATACATTCAATCTTCCCGATCTTCGTGGACGAGTACCGGTTGGTGTAGATGAGTTAGAAGTAAATGCTGCTGGAATGAATAGGTCAGGTGCTTTTGGCGGACGAACTATGCATCGACTGACTATTGATCAAATTCCATCTCATAACCATAGTGCAGGTTCTCTCTCTACATCGTCGAATGGTGATCATAATCATATCGTTCGTGATTATGGGCATAATCATGGTGGTCGAACAGGATCCGAGCCGAAATTTGGGGCAGGTGGATGGGGAATGACTCCCAAAGGACATGGCAGCGACCAATCTTCTCATTCGCATGTAATACCATTCGGTAAAACCGGCATTCAAATTGACCCTGCTGGCTCTCATACTCACACGGTCAATGACGGCTACACAGGGTCAGTGGGGCATGCAGAAGAGTTCAGCTTGATGCAACCATATCAAACAGTAAATTATATAATTTACGCTGCTTGAAAAAAACAATTTATTTTTCTCTCACAAAAGGTTCCTGTAACTTTAGGTAGCCTGCTTTTGAAAAAGCTTCAGGCATAAACATTAATATGATTCAATTTGATCTTGCAGCAAGCATATCGATGGTGTAGTGAATGTAGGTGTGGGAGGGGGGAGGGGTATGAATGTCCGTATAGTTATTGATTTAATTGACACCCATAACACATTCGTTATCTCTTCTTTTTGTTACAGGAGCATATTAAGCAAATCCAAGTATCACGGCTTTCGATCCGTACGAGGGAGTGCTGCTTTTGCAGCAATGTTCTTTTTTTAACTCAGAGAGCAATATTTTAATAGATTATTTTAATCAATGTGGTCTTAGTGTTAATGAGACATTATTCGAGCACTTGTTCAAGAAAGATTAAAAAAAACATAATCAAATCTTCAAATAATGATGAACAACAACACAATCGAGTTCAAAGCAAAACTTCTGATAGCCAAAATGCAATAATAGCACAATCCGATTTAACCGATTATAAGGGGTGTGGGTGTGTCGGTGTGCGTGAGCCGGTGTGGGTATTGATGATGACAATCGATATAATCAGACCCACACCCCCACCCACCCACCCACACTCATACCCACACCTACCCAAACCCACACCCACACCCTCAAGCATGAAACATTGCTTTTTTTGAGGAAGTAGGTGATTCCGTTTCTAAAGGGTTGTAATTGTCTCTTTTACTTTCCGGACACGAATTTTAGCATTGAAACTAATTAGTTCTGA